GCCACTCGGGACCCCCACCGAAGCGACTACGGGGCCTGCAGCGTACGTACGCAGAACTGGCGCCTTCGATTTACTAACAACGTGTTCGTATGCTAAGTCACGTTATTTCAGGTGGTGGCTTTGCAATATTGTCCCAAAGCTTTCTCATATTAATACATACCAGTACTTTCGTTTTTAAACTTTCACACGTCACTTAAGCCAATTGCAGTTACTTTCGATACCATTTTCGTGTTTGTGGCATTTCCGCAAAATATATCTTCTGATCTCGTGAACTTACCTCGGATTCGTTTGTAAACAACTTATTTGATATGCTCATCAATTTAAGGTTGATATCACCTTTTCCTCAGGTGGTACTCGATTTATTTTACTTGTTATCCTTCTCTCAAGTGATTGGCTGTTGCTCAATATCCCCGGTGTGGCTGCGCTTTATGTGCATGTCGACAAGGTACCTACCTGTCTATTACCCAATACCTCGTCCCTACTGGCTCCAGGAGACAGTTGTTTGTTATTGGAGGGGACGGGGTGCACGGCCCTGGTGGACGTGCTAGGCTCGAAGAGTGGTTCCATGCACTCATTGTGGAGCGGAGTACGGTCCGGCCACCACCACATACATCGTGCTTTTGTTTGCCTGTGAAGGAGTGTGGGCCGGCTCCGTTGATGAAACGTGGCTCCCATCCACATGCCTCCCGGTCTTATTCCTTCGGGTTTACACTGGATATGGGGTGGATGATTGAAGCTGTGGGTGGTGCAGCGCAAGCCACCCATGGTCCCACTGTAGGCTCAGGCGTCCTGTGGCTGGCCACAGTGACACGCACATCCGAAACCGGATGTCGTCAACCATGACTCTAGTGATAAGTTATACTATCCACATCGGACAACTTTGGACAAACGCCCATCATTTGTTGGTCCCTTTCCTGCAACTTTTCCTATTTGTTTATTGCTTTCCTGCCACTGTTAGCCAGTATTGAGGCAATCTTCCAATATGAGAGATCAATGTCTCCAAAACTGCAGCACCCTCATGCAATGCGAGTTGTCACGAACTCACTGGCGAATCCTAAAACTGCTAGACTCTAATTGGCCAAATGGTGGCGGTATGATGGGGTAAGGTGAACATATTATACAGACCCCGACATTCAGCGCTACATGGTTATGCATAATGTGTCACCATAATGGTGGTAAATTTGTATAGGGTAACAGCAAGAAAGCGAGCCAAAAAGGTATTCGTTAATTGCTTTAAGCCAAAACAGCACATATCCAACCAGGATCGGCATTAAAACAAAAACCAAAATTGTACTATTGAGTAACAAAAGTGTACATAAGATAGAAAATATCTTTTGGGTTAGGACAGAGCTACCCTGCTGAACGTAGACATATTCGAAACAGAAACGGCAGTGGATCGAATTTCTTGAAAGGTATTCGTATGAAAAGGAGTATTTGTTCCTGTTCGGAAATAAATGTAGTCAACAATTAGGTTCCGCTGTGACGTCCAGTCTTTATTATTTATTGATTGCAGGGCTGGGAGCATGTCGGCTAGCCGTTGGAGAAAGCTTGTTGGAGGATAAAGAACTGGCTAGTCCAGAAAATGTCCGGCAGGACCTCCACCTCCGTTGATGACAAACGGTGCGCTCCGGAATGGTTTTTACCTCCGCCCAACCCCGCCCTGCGCCAAAACGACCCACGTCCCACGGAGAAACGACCGGCGTTGGCTTCATGGTCCTATAAAACGGTGCTCGTGTGGGTTAATCGATCGAAGGGCAGGGTTTGGACGTAGAGAGGTGAGAGAATAAAGAACGCGCAGAAAACGCCCGAAGGAAAGAACGAATGAGCTGCGCGTTTAGATTCTTTGGTTTTTGCTTATATTTTAGAGTAGGTTGATGTGAGGATTCTTATTTTTTGTTTGTTTTCAAAACGGTAATCGAACCAAAGCTTGGCAAGTATATACAATATATACAATATCTACAACCCTAAACGTAGTTACTCTGCCCATAGCTGGAGAAACGAACCGGCTTAAGCACAACCCGACCCCAGCGATTGGTCGTGGGAGGCGACAGGCTGGATTCGGGAGATGTCGGGAAGGATAAATCTTGTGGACCGAGATCGTGGTCTGTTTGAACTGCACTAAGATGCTGAAAGCTGGTAAGGTGCGTTTTAACGTCTCACGAAGCACTACTAGAAGAAGTAGGCGAGGTGCTTTCTTCCACAAAGGCGGGTGTTAGACGGTCCATGGGACGACTTGATGTCGGCCACCGCGGTCAATGTTGTACCTTTTATTCTTGCGGTGTAGCAAGTTGAAGGTGTGGCGAATGAAGAGGCTTTCGAACACCGTCTGCGCGAAGAAGGTCGTGTGAGCAGGTGAACTGCTTCTTGGGCACGTGTGCTGATGTCTTTTGCGCTCGAGGAGCGCATGAACATAGCTCACGCATCTGGGGAACCAATCGATCTGTGTAACTTCCGTAGTCAAAAGTGGAAGCAGACGAGGCTGGTGCTACCCGCTGGCCGGGCAACCGCAGCGTGCAACCGTAGGCTAACCGCGCTGGTGTCGCCTCGAACCCGGTTTCAACCGCGTTTCTTAAGCCTAAGAAGACGACAGGATGTGTTTCAGACGATGAAGGATCTGCGTGCGCACGTGGCGCTGCTGTCATATGGCGGTGGAAACGCTCCACCATGCCGGTGGTGGCCGGATGATACGCCATCATCTGGAGGTGGCGGCCACCCAAGTCCTTAAGCAAAGGAACAAATGTGCCTAATGGGTTTTTCGTGTACTTGTGCACAGCGGGTTGACATGGAATGCAAGCAGCTGCTCAAGTACGATCCTTCAGATTAACATTGCGCCAGAGGAATCTGGCGGTTACCAGTTTAACCGTTGCAAGAACACCTGGATGAGACAAGCCATGCAACGTGTCCAACACCGTCTGCCGAAACTCGCGTGGGACCACTGAGCGCGGCTCGCCCAGAGATAAATCGCAAAGTATAGTTCCATCTGATCATGTCAGCGAAATTGCTCGGAGGTCCAGTGAAGAAGACCTGCGTAGTAGATCAACATCAGGATCGTTGAGTTGCGCTGTGGCCATGGCTGCCAAGTCGATATCAATGCCGGAGTCAGCGGAGCTAGCTTGGATGTGGAAAAGTGCGCCAGCGCTGGCGTTGTGCACACCTGAGCAATGCCGTATACCGGTGGTAAACTGAGCGGTATAGTTAACATGGCGCGAATCTAGGGGAGTATCGGTCGGTAGTTGAGCCGAGCATGTAAGTCAGGGGTTTGTGGCCAGGGAAGGCCGCAAAGGAGCGGCCTTCTAAGACATGTCGAAAGTGACGTATCGCTAGATGTATGGCTAGTAGTTCTCAACCGAACGTGCTGTAGCGAGGTTCGGTTTGTTGTAGGCGTTTGGAGAAAAACTTTAAGGGCTGCCAAGTGTCGGCTACTCATTGCTGCAAAACAGCGCCGACTGCCACGTCTGAGGCCTCAGTATTGAGTTACACTGAGGCTGGAGGATCGTGATGTGCTATAGAAGCTATGTTGGCGGTAGCCTCTTTCAGCGACTTAAAATCAGCACGTGCTGCGGCTGGAAATTCAAGTTTCTTGCGTTTCTCTCGGAGAAGGTCCGTGAGGGATTGCATCAGCGACGCTCAGTTTGGTATGAACCGTCAGTAAAAGTTGGCAAGCCCAGCAAAAGTCTAAGCTATTTGAATGAATAAGGCTCGGGGTAGTCGATGATAGCTTGAATTTTCTCCTGCAGTGGCACGACGCCGGCATAGGAAATACGATGGCCAAAGACGTTGACTGAGTCGACACCAAAAGAACACTTTTCTGCGTTGATCATCACCCCGTGCTTAGATCAAATATCGAAAAGTGTTCGTAAGCGGCGCATGTGCTCTTCTCGTGAAGAGCTCACCATTCAAATGTAGCCGAGCTGAGCGTAAGTGAAGTCTAAGCCGCGAAACGCTTGGTCGATGATGCGTTGAAAAGTTTGCGCGGCATTCTTTAGGCCAAATGGCATGCGCAGGAACTCGAACAAACCAAATGGAGTTGCCAATGCAGTTTTAGCTATGTCCGCTTCTGCTACCGGAAGTTGGTTGCATGCGCGTACCAAGTTGAGTTTGCTGAAGATGTTGTTACCTGCCATACTGGCGGTGAGATCCACTATGGTTGGGACCGGATAGCGATCGGGCGTGGTCACCGTATTCGATGATTGATAGTCGCCGCAAGGACGCCAGTCCTTTATTATCTTCTTCGGGACCATGTGGAGAGGCGATGCCCATGGGCTGTTGGACCGGTCTGACGATACCGGGCGGAAGCATGCGGTTAACTTCAGCTCGTGCTGCTCGTAGCTTGTCTGGAACAAGCCGTCTTGACCGTACGCTAACGGGTTGACCGCGCGTGACTATGTGGTAAGCAACCTCTGTCGTGACTGGTGGAAGTTCTGCAGCTGGTCGAACCAGTTGCGGATGTTCGGATAGGAGGCTCAAATAGGCGGACAGTGCGTCTGCGATCCGAAATACAGGGCTGATTATCGAACATCTGAAAGGGCTCCATCAACATCCAGCTTTGTATAATCATCTAACATTCTGCGGCGACTTGCGTCGACAATCAATCCGATACGGCGAAGAAAATCGATACCGATAACTGCGAAAGGTGCTGACGCAACCGTAAAAACCCAGTGAAAATCTCTGCGAAGATTTAAAGCTAGGTTCACCGTACGATGACTGTATGAAGCTATCGGTGAGACGTTGGCTACCTGTGGATTGTACCTGGGCTTCGAAAGCTTGTCTTGCGCGCTGGCAGGGCTAACGCTCACTTCGGCTCTTGTGTCGATAAGAAAAGTGAAGCTGGAGCGCCTATCCCTGACGTAAAACAGACAGCCTGTTTTGTTGCTGCCGGACGCATGGGCCGCATGCACGGGCCGGCGAACTAGTTTCCCTGTGCCCCTAAACCATGCTTGGCGCTAGGTGAACGGCAACGTCGAGCGTTTTCACCATACTGCCGATGATACCAACAAAGTTCATTCATTAAATTGGTATTTCGGGCTAGGCTGCGAGGGGGTGATGGACTGCGCCTGCGCGATGCCCCCCCCCCCCCCCCCCCCCCCCCCCCCCCCCCCCACCCCCCCCCCCCCCCCCCCCCCCCCCCCCCCCCCCCCCCCCCCCCCCCCCCCACCCCCCCCCCCCCCCCCCCCCCCCCCCCCCCCCCCCCCCCCCCCCCCCACCCCCCCCCCCCCCCCACCCCCCCCCCCCCCCCCCCCCCCCCCCCCCCCCCCCCCCCACCCCCCCCCCCCCCCCCCCCCCCCCCCCCCCCCCCCCCCCCCCCCCCCCCCCCTCCCCCCCCCCCCCCCCCCCCCCCCCCCCCCCCCCCCCCCCCCCCCCCCCCCCCCACCCCCCCCCCCCCCCCCCCCCCCCCCCCCCCCCCCCCCCCCCCCCCCCCCCCCCCCACCCCCCCCCCCCCCCCCCCCCCCCACCCCCCCCCCCCCCCCCCCCCCCCCCCCACCCCCCCCCCCCCCCCCCCCCCCCCCCCCCCCTAGATACAGCATGGCGAGTGTTCAGAGAAGCTCCAGCACCAGAAACGTTGGACAACTACGTAGCCCAACGTAACCACTGCACTCAACTGTTAAGAGAAGACAAAGCCGCCTATCAGCAGAACATCGCAAAAAAACCTTCAGTGCTAACCACAAACTGCTGTACAAGCACGTTAATAGCCTACGAAAGGTGAGGCAAGGATTTCCTCCACTCAAAGACGGCTGACGGCCCCAACAAGAACGTCTATGGAAGCTGCAAACGCGCTGCAGATGCAATACGCCCCCACGTTTCAAAGGGTCTTGCCACCAAGCGATCTACCAAGCTTTGTCTTCTGCTCACCAGGACTAACCCACATCAATTTTACCGCAGAGGCTGTATTGCAAAAAGCTGACCTCTCTACGCAAACACAGCTCGCCGGGTGTCGACGCCATTCGTCCTGAGGTATTGGGAGTAGCAGCAAACCAACTGGCAGGACATTTTGCTCAGTTTTTCCAGCACTGCTTAGACCAGAACCAAGTTCCCGCCATGTGGAAGCTTGGAATAATAAGCCCGATTCACAAAGGTGGAAGCAGATCTGATCCCTCTAACTACCGCCCAGTAACCCTTCTTCCTATACTCTCCAAGGTCATGGAATCCATAGTTGCCGATGCACTGGTGTGCTATCTGGAAAACTGCAACCTCATCACTCCTGAACAGCACGGTTTCCGTCGACAGCGGTCATGTACAACTAATTTACTCATTGCACGCAGTAGTTGGACCGAGGCAGCCGACGCTGGAGAAGGTGTTGATGTGATTTACCTGGATTTTTCCAAGGCTTTCGATCGTCTAGACCATCGGATACTACTATCCAAGCTGCAGAAGTACGGGGTCGGAGACCCTCTTTTAAGCTGGATCGCCAACTTTCTATTTCAAAGGCAATTAGTGGTCAGAGTTCGGTGCTCTTTATCGGACCCCATACAAGTCGAGTGTGGTGTGCCGCAAGGCTCGGTTCTAGGTCCACGTTTGTTTCTGGTGTTTATTAATGACCTTGCACAGGGAATCGCTTCAAACTTCCTAATGTTTGCCGACGATATCAAGATCTGGCGCAGGATCCAGGCGAACGCCGACCAACTTGTGCTCCAAAGTGACTTAGATACAGTGTATCAATGGTCGATCCAAAACTTATTGCATTTCAACGTCAGTAAATGCAAGGTGCTTTCCATCCGACATCACGGCAGCTACTCATACCGACTCGGAACGGATGTACTGCAACAATCAAGTCTCGAACGGGACTTGGGTGTCCTGGTTCAAGATGACTTGGGTTGCTCCAGGCAATCCGAAAAGGCCTCGAAGACCGGGAACCAACACGTTGGGCTGTTGAGGCGGGCGTTTGGACAAATAAACAGCTCCATATTTCGACAAATGCTCAGTGCGTATGTTCGCCCCATGTCGAATACGCAATTCAAGCCTGGCATCCATGGCTGAAACACGACCTTAATGCACTGGAGCAGCCTCAACGCCGCGCATCTAAGAACGTTACTGGAATGCGCAATCTGTCCTACCAGGAGAGGCTGCGACGACTAGGATTGTTCAGTGGAAGCTATCGCAGGCTACGAGGCGACCTGATTATGACATACTTGATTCTGCGAGACCCACATCATGTGTGTCGCCCTTTACTGCAACTCAGCAGCAATACAAACCTGAGGGGCCACTCATTAAAACTCGCAGAACAATATAGTCGTCTGGAGTGCCGCAGAAATTTCTTTTCCATCCGTGTCTGTCACCCGTGGAATGCTCTCCCAGAATCGGTCGTCTCTGCACCGACACTAACAATATTTAAAAGACGGTTGGACGATGCACTCATCCACTTACACTTTGTTACTTAACACTACGTCTCCATCCTACACTTGGAGTTTACCCTGGAATTATTTGTTGTTAACTGTGGGTGTTGTGAATCTAAGTGAATCGCAGGACTGCAGCGAAGCAAACGATAAGTCCTTATTTTCGTATTTAAAGTGTTAACTATTTTACTATCCTTTTCATCATAATTATTATGTTGATATCCCCACCAACTATCCAACGGGGCTTGTAAAGCAGCGCTTCTTAACCCGTATAAATTCATTGTTCATTGTTGTTCATTGATAGGCGCCGTGACGAATGGCGGCTACTTCGTGGTTGGCGTGCGGTCTCATTAGGCCTTTTCTTTCTAAGTGCATTGCTGCTAATTCACGGCGAAGCGCGTCTAGCTCTTCGTCTCTGGGGTCTGCTTGCGAAGACGCTTTCGTACTCAAGTCGTTTTCAGCTAATGTGGCAAAAATGTTACGGGATGCCCTCACGTACGGAGGGATTCTCTCAGATGCTGCGTCTGCCGTTATGGCCAGCTCTTTGAGCGATCTGTTTGGGTACGCTACGAGCATTAAAAGAGGAGGATCACGTATGTGTGAGAGCCACAGTACTTTTAAAGCTTCTTCACTCATATACGAAGGACCAGCTATCTGCTAAACATGGCGGAGCAAGACTGAAGGCTTGCGATCGCCTAGCTTAGTGTTATTGCTACAATCAAGCACGAGCGTTGGGTTGCGCCTCCTTTAGAATAAATTCCTACGTTTCTTCGTATTTACCGTCCTTCGGTGGATGAAGCAGTAGATCATTAAGCAGGATCACCACTTGTTGCGGAAGGCATGGGACGAGTTGGTTGTATTTAGCTTGATCAACAGAAATTCCTCTGTTTTCTAGTTCTATCTCAAACATGGCAAACCAGACGCTGGGCTTGTGTGCCATAAAGTCCGGAATAGCCAAGGTGAGCAAATTCATGCTACCGCCCGACCCGGGTTTTACATCGGCATCAGACATGGTACATGCGTAATAGGAATGAAGTTTTAAAAACCAATGGACGGTAAATAATCCACCACGGATTAGGGAAAAAGATGACTTGGAACGAACTCACCGAAAACGAAACGACCTAAACATTTGAAAATTCGCGGGTGGTTATCGGGGTCACCAATTTGTAGGACTAGTCTATACTAGTCGGAGAGTGTTCCTGCTCTGGCGTGGATTAGAGGAAACCAGAAGAAGGGACACAACGGATTGCATTCGAGAAAGGCTACAATCGAACGAAAGACGGATAAAGCGACGAGAGCGTACGTCAGTGTCGGAACTCACCGTGGACACAAGTGGTGAGCCGGATGTAGGTAAGAATGACCGTATGGTCGGCACTGGCGGGAGAGCCTATGGTGCGCTGAGGCTGGTGGTGGCTAGATCCTGACAGATGGTCTACCCACTGCTGCTACTGTTGCGCCATAGTCTCATGTCCTGGGCGCCTCCACGTGGCGACCGCTGGGTGGGAGTTAGGTTTCGCCCTTCTCCCTGCAAAGATCCAGGACACCAATCCGCATGAGTCAGCTAACTGACCACGTGCTAGACCCGCTGCCTTTCGGGTGTTCATTTAATCGAAGGCTTTGGCTGAGGACCCGAGTCGTTCTCCTGTCAGGTGTGGGCGCCCTGGCAGTATCCTAGTCCATCCTCTCCGGAGGTTAGGAAGTGGTCGATGGCCCACTTCCCGTAAAACCTAGCCATGGGAGACAACAGGTTACGGGTGATATTCTCAATGCTCGATTGGCGTAGAGCACGAGTGCCACGCATTGTCTCTGACGGTGGGAGGACACCTCCGGGTGTTCAATGGTTTGCTACTGCCCGCCTCAAGCCAGGCAGCCCCTGGTCAAATTGGTGCAAACCCGCCAAAAACCCACCTGCGTCTGGCCGTGGTCGCAGGTGCGTATCCAATTACGGTCGCAAAACATATGATAACTGTTCCAGAACCTCAAAGGCTGCGTGTGACGGCCGTCAAGCAGATCCCAATCTGTCTCTGCAATCACATTCCCGAGCTGGATCTGCTCTCCACTGCCTTGTGGGTCAGGCTATTGAGCCAAAGGCTCCGGGCGGAGTCCCTCAAGCAAACCTCCAAATCACCCACTGCCTTGTGGGTCAGACTATTGAGCCAAAGGCTCCGGGTGGAGTCCCTCAAGCAAACCTCCGAAGGACAACGACCACCTCGCGTGCGATTGCCCACCAATGCAATCGTATGCCTGCGCGCAAAGCACTCAGCATCGGGTGCTGGAACGTGCGCACACTCCTGGACCGGAACTCGAGCGAGCGCCCGGAGCGACGCACTGCACTGGTCGCAATGGAGCTGGCGCGCTACCACATCGATATTGCGGCGCTCAGTGAAACTCGGCTCGCTGAGCAAGGTAAGTTACATGAAGCAGGTGCTGGCTACACATTCTACTGGGTGGGGAACGCCGCCTCAGCACCACGTGAACATGGGGTCGGATTTGCAATATCCGATCGCCTGAATGGCCAGCTGGTGGGTGAACCAACGGGCATCAGCGCGCGGCTGATGACTGTTCGCCTGCGACTCGGAAGAGGTAAGTTTGCTACTTTTATAAGCACGTACGGTCCAACCATGTGTTATCCTGATGACACGCGTGATCAATTCTACACTGAGCTATCCTCCGTGATACGGTCTGTGCCGAGGAGCGACCGACTATTTCTGCTGGGTGATTTCAACGCGCGCGTTGGGCGTGATGCATCAGCGTGGACAGATGTTATCGGTGCGCATGGCATTGGTTCAGCGAATGCGAACGGTGACAGGCTGCTCTCACTGTGTGCCACTCACGGCCTGACGATCACGAACACTCGGTTTGCACTGAGTGCGAGTGATATAGCAACTTGGATGCACCCACGGAGTGGTCACGCTCACCTGCTCGACTATGTCATCGTACGTCAGCGTGATATGCGTGAAGTGCGCATGACACGTGTACTGCGTGGAGCTGAGTGTGGCACTGATCACAAATTGGTTCGGACCAAACTGTACATATATTTTCGTAAATCGATGTATTGCACTCCCGCCGTGAATCGGCGTAAATTTATCATTCTCTCCCTCGGCACTGTGGCGAAACGTACTGAGCTGGAGAAGGCGATGGCTGCACGCCTGTGTGGTGATGTGGACTGTATAGCCACAGTGGGCGACCTGTGG